AGGAGGTGAGGCGAAATCTGGCCATTCTCGCTTCCAAGGAGCATTCCGGCTGCCCTTCTTCCAGGACAGATTTGTTCATTCTTCTGGCAGTCCATGGTACTCTCAGTATTCTTCACCAACACCACAATTCAAAGGCATCAACTCTTCTTTGGTCTTCCTTATTCATTATTGATTACTTGGAGGAAGGAGCCCATCCCTCTGCTCACAGCCCTTCGGACTCCCATCTCCCACCTCCTCAGGCAAAAGCCCGAGTCCTCCCCGTGGCCCACAGGGCCCTGCACAACCTGCCCCGCCCCTTCCCTGCCTTCCCCTCCTCCTCTCTCCCTCTCACGTACTGTGCTCCAACCAGATGGGCCTCCTTGCTGTTCCTCTAACATGCCAGGCCCAGTCCTCCCCAGGGCCTTTGCACAGGCTGGGCCCTCTGCCTGGAGCATTCTCTGTCTTACCACTCCAGCCTCGACTCCAGGGGTTCCTCCGCAGAGCGGCCTTCCCTGACCATCCTGGCTAAGATTGCCTGCCTGTCATTGGCTGTCACCTCCATCATTCTTCACCCGTCACCAAGGCCCTTGTCTCTCCCTAAAATCACCTGCTAAGTTCTATTTTAAGGAGCCCTGATAGCACAATGATTAATCTCCTGGCTGATAACCAAAAAGTTAGTGGTTCAAATCCACTCAGCAGCTCTGTGGGAGAAAGAATGGCAATCTGCTCCCCTAATGATTGACAGCCTTGGAAACCCTCTGGGGCAGTTCCACTCTGTCCTCTAGGGGCGCTGTGGGTCAGAATCAACTCCACAGCAGTGGTTTTAGTTTGAGCTTTGCTTCTGTAAAGACTGACAGCCTTGGAACCCCTCTGGGGCAGTTCCACTCTGTCCTCTAGGGGTGCTGTGAGTCAGAATTGACTTGACATCACCCAACATTTCTAGTTTTACAACTTTCTGACGTCTCCACCTTCCAGCAGGGACACTGGAAATTTGGGGGACTGTTTTTGCTGTTGACAATGGTGAGGTATCCTGGCATTTGGGGACAGGGACCAGGGGCACTGAGTCTAGCCCTGCGTGAGATAGCCCCTCACCATTCACAAGGACAGTCCTGCTGGGGAAGGGGCAGGTGGCACAGCCCAGGCGGCCTCCTCGTCTCCCGGCCTTGGCCCTGGTGAGCTCGAGGCAGGAAGGAAGCCGCCGTTTATTTTCGTCCGTGGCCTGCTCCCCCGGGACGGTGGTCATCTCCTTGTCTGGCTGCTCTGATGGTGGGGTTTCTGGCAGAACAATGGGTCAGGAGGAGGAAGGGGAGGCCACACAGCTGGGCTGGCCCAGGTGTGGGCAGGTCTGGTGGCAGGCAGAGGGGTGTGGAGGCCAGAGGGGAGGCTGCAGCTGCCTCCACCCCCACCCCTTGTTAAGCTGGGGGTCCGGGGTGAGACAGCTAGGAGCCGAGGCCCTTCCTGAAGTTGGTAAACAGGCTGCAGCCAGCTCCCCTCCTGAACCAACACGCCCACCCTCAGGATGCAGATGTGAAGGTGGAGGCCCAGAGAGGGTCAGAGCCCTGCCTCGGGTCACAAAATGACTGAGAGGGGCCGAAAGACCTGGGTTCTGGCAGTACTGGGCATCCAGAGGCCTGGGCACAGCCCTGGACTTCGGCCAAGGCCCTTCGCTCTCTGAGCCTCAGTCTGTCTGTCTGTAAAGTGGGCAGCCAGGTCTGAGCAGCTGGGGGGGGGGCTGCCTCTCAGTTCTGATGTTTGCAGGCATCCTCCCCCTCATGCATTCAGCTAACACTTAGGAAGCACCTGCAGTGTCCCAGGCCATGGCTGGGCACCATGACACACATGGAGGGAGATGCAGCCCCTGGCCACAGTATTGGGTAAGGGAGAAGGACACAGAGAACCAGGTGCCCAGAGCTGTGACGGGGGATGCCCAGGGTGCTGTGGGAGCCAGCGGGGCACCTGACTCAGCCTGGGGCATCTGGCAGGGCTCCCAGCAGGAGGTGAAGGTGAAGGTGAAGCTGAGACCTGAAGGATGAGCAGGAGTTTGCCAGATGAGGAACAAGAGACAGAGAGGCCCAGGGAGATGGAACAGTGAGAGACAATGTTCTGGAAAACTGGTATTCACAGAATGCATCAAAGAACTAGGTTTGCAAGTTCAAAGAGAGCCAAGTGGGGGAGCATGGATGGAGGGATCCCAGGCAATGGGTTGCTGCATTTTGGGGACTCACAGCTTGGGGGACAAGGGTGGCTACAGGCTTTGCCCCAGGATGAAGTTGGTTCTGAGCTAACCCAGTTTACAGATGAGGAAACTGAGGCATGTGGTGGTTATGTTTCTTCCCAAGGGGTCAGAGCTAGGAGCAGGCCCTATATATGTGCATGGTTTTGTCATGGGAGGTGGGGGCACTTGGAGTGACCTGCAGGTATGAGGTGGGGAAGGCAGAGGACTAGTCCCTCCTAGGGGGAATGTTTGGGAGCAGAGGCATTGGGGACTGGCAGACTGGGTTCAAGACCTGGCTCTGTCACCATATTGCTGTGTGGCTTGGGGAAGCACCTCAGCCTCTCTGAGTTTTTGTGTTCTCATCTGCAAACCAAGCAGTCAGTCCACAGAAGGGCAGATCTGGTGGAAATGACAAACGGGTACACTGGTCAACCTGGGCCTGCCACGCAGTGCTGAGTATGCAACACCCGTGCTCTGGCCCAGGGCTATGTACAGCTGGGGTCTGGTGACCCGGGCACAGGCCGGGAAGGCTGCTCCCGTGGCCCAGGCCTGCCATGACCTCCAGGGGCAGGTGAGTGGGTGGTCGGGGTGGGGACTTCTCCCAGTGTCTGAGCTCACACAAAGACGGGCTTTGTGGGGGCTTCTAGGGGTGAGTAGGTGCCTACGCAGCATCCTTGGTCTGGCTGGGCTGGGCCTGCCTTCTGAGCAGTGCCTGGGGCGGCAGGCGAGGGGGAGGCGGTCTCAGGCCTGCCCCTCTTCCCAGGGTTCCTCGTGGCTCCCCTCACTCACTGGCAGACATATCTGGAGGCTCTGAGAACATAGCGTATAAACCATCAGGTCCCGGCACTCCCCTGTGGTGAGACAGACGAAAACTGGTGTGTGAAGAGTAGTGATGGGGAGGCCTGACGCGTTGAGGCCCAGTGGAGGTACCTCTCCTCTCAGCCTGGGAGCTCAGGGGTGGCTTCTTGAAGGTGGTATCCAGGCTGTACTGGGGCAAAGAAGCAGAGGCTTGTGGCCTGGGCATTGGGGGCTGTGTAGGAGTCCACCAGGAGGCAGACAGTGAAGCTGAGACTTGAGGGATGAGCAGGAGTCTGCCGGAGGAGAAATGGAAGGAAGAGGGGTCCAGGTAGATGCAACAGTGAGAGACAGAATGTTCTGGAGAAACTGGCATTCACAGAATGAATCAAAGAACTACATTTGCATGTTCAAAGGTAGGGGCTTGGGGGCCAGGGCATTGGGGGATGTATAGGAGCCCACCAGGGAAGAGGCAGAGGTTTGGGGGTGAGGGCACTGAGAGCAGTATAGGGCTCACCAGGGAAGAGGCAGGGGCCCGAGTGAGGCATGGGGGTGTGCTTCTGGGAACCATGGGGAACTGCTGGCTGGTTTTCAGTAGATCTACAATTGAAGAATAATTCTGGAACTGAGGGAAGGGGATTGGTTGGAGGGGCAGGCCTCTAGGCAGACCTAAGAAGTCTAGAGACCCCAAGTCCTTCGTCCCCGTGCACTCCCCCATCCGGTCACTAAAGCCTGGCCCCACCACCTCCTCAGTCAGTTCACTTCTCCCTGCCCCTATCCTGGAGCAGCCCCGACGGCCCATCTCCGCACCACACTTTGGAGCAGGCCCTTCCTGCCTGTGCCGTGGTCACCAGACCCCAGCTGTACATAGCCCTGGGCCAGAGCACCTGGGTCCCTAGCTCCTTGGTGGCGCGGTACAGCTCGTCCAGCCACTGAAAACGTCCTTCCTCCGGCCGGCCAGCTTGCCCTCCTGGGGCCTGGCACAGGCTCCTTCCTCCCGTCTCCTGGGCCGCCAGCCTGGCCCCCTTGACCTATGGGGTGCCATGCTAGGGGCTCTTGTAGCTTCCCGGATCCTAGCACTTGTCAGGCGTTCTGATGTGCCCCTATCTCTGCTCCACACTGGCCCTGGCACATAGTGGGTGCTGCGCAGTAGGGGTGTGGGGCGGGCTCACTGTCCCTTATGTTGTTGTTGTTAATTCTCTGCACACTTTCCAAGGCTGTGACCTTTCAGAAGCAGATCACCAGGCCTTTCCTCTGAGGCACCTCCGGGTGCTGTTGGTGCCTCCTGGGGGCTCCCTACGTTGTTGATTCCGAGTCACAGCGACCCCATTGACAGTAAACCTGCCCTGTAGGATGTTTTAGGTGGTAATCTCTGTGGGAGCAGATGACCAGGCCTTTTCTCCATGGAGCTGCTGGATGGGTTTGAATTCCGACATTTGTTAGCAGCCAAACACTGAACCATGGCACCACCAGGGGTTCTCGCGACTCCTTTTATGCATACACATGAAACCCAGCCCATTGCCACCGAGTTGATTCGACTCACAGGGCCCCTAGAGGACAGAGGGAAACTGTCCCATAGGGTCTCTAAGGCTGTCAATCTTTATGGAAGTAAATGCCTCATCTTTTTCCCATGGAGCGACTGGTGGGTTTGAACCACCGACCTTTTGTTTATCAATTGAATGCTTTAACCACTGTGCCACCTGAGCTCCTAGGACACCTTAAGGTGCCCAAAAAACATCAGTGGATGCTGTATGAAAAGTGAATTTACTCTGTAAATCTTCACCCAAATCAAAATAAAATTAAAAAAAAAAAAAAAATCAGTGGAATTGCTAAGGCTGGCAGCTGCACCATAAGGCTCCCTGGAGATGTGTGCCCATTCTACAGACTGGGAAGACAAAGGTAGCAAACCACAGTGGCCCACATAGTAGCTGGAGGTGGAGGCTGCTGGGTGTGGGGGTCCTGCCAGGGTCTGCGAGGGCTGATGGGCCTGCCTCTGCTTTCCACAGGCCCCATGGATGCCTTCAGCACCAAGAACCTGGCCCTCCAGGCCCAGAAGAAGCTGGTGAGCAAGATGGCGTCCAAGGCGGTGGTATCCGCGCTCATCGACGACACCAGCAGTGAGGTGCTGGACGAGCTGTACCGCGCCACCAAGGAGTTCACGCGGAGCCGCAAGGAGGCCCAGAAGGTGGTGCAGAACCTGGTCAAGGTGATGCTGAAGCTGGGCGTCCTGCTCCGTGGCAGCCAGCTGGGTGGCGAGGAGCTGGCGCTGTTGCAGCGTTTGCGCCGGAGGGCGCGCAGCCTGGCCATGACGGCCATCAGCTTCCACCAGGTGGACTTCACCTTTGACCGGCGCGTGCTGGCCGCCGCGCTGCTCGAGTGTCGGGACCTGCTGCACCAGGCCGTGGGCCCCCACCTGACCGCCAAGTCCCACAGCCGCATCAACCACGTCTTCAGCCGCTTGGCTGACTGTGACTTCCTGGCGGCGCTCTACGGCCCAACCGAACCTTACTGCTCGCACCTGCGCCGCATCTGCGAGGGCCTTGGCAAGATGCTGGACGAGGGCAGCATCTGAGCCCAGGCCGCCAGGTGGGGCGGGCGCTCCTGCTTCCGTTCTCTCTGCTGGGGGTTTCCTCCCAGTCCGACTCTGGCCAAACCCCCCTTCACTCGACAGGCTGCTAAGTCGTCTGCTCGCTGCCATTGGCCGGCTCCCGGCTCGAGGGACCCCATGCACAACAGGCCCACCGCTGCCTGAGCCTGCGCCATCCCCAGGACGGCTTGTGACCCACAGGGTTTTCCTGGCTGCTTTTCAGAAGTCGTTCACCAGGCCTTTCTTCCTGCTCTTTTTGGGAAGCTCCACTGAAGGCCGTCCAGCATCCTAGCAACACGCCAGCCTCTACACACAGACGGGTGGGGGCTGCAACACGAAGTGCATTGGCCAGGAATCAAACTCAGGTCTGCTGTGTGGAAGTCAAGAGTTCTCCCACTGCCTTCCCTAGTTGTCTGTACCACCAGTATAAACACTTGCAAGTGCCACGTGGGGTCCCCGGCCTGATGGGGAGAAGGATTCGGCTGGGAGACAGGCCCCCTCCTGGGCCCAGGTCTCCCCCAAGCACCAGCACTTCCTCTCCTCAGCCCCTGCCTTTTGCTCCTGGTGGGTTTTGTAACCCAGGCAGGCCCTTGTGGGAACCAGCTCTGCCCTCCTTATGTGTGATCAGAAAGCTGACCCCAGCCTGCCATGCTTTGAGAATGCTTTCCCTGGAAGGAGGTGGCCCAGTCTTTCCAACAAGGTTATGGTGAGCTGGGAGGAAGGGTGCAATGCAGGCGGCTGCCGCATCAGCCAGACAAGACTCCTGCTGGTGTGGCCCTCATTTCCTTAAGAAACACACGGCCTGGACTTGGGTGGGTTCTAACATGGTGACTGTCACAGGGCAGGGGATAGAAGGTGCCCCTTACCTGGGGGTGGGGGTGGGGATAAAGGCATTGAAGATGTGTGTCCGTTTTAAAATTATAATTTCACGTTTGAAAACAAACATGAACAAAGCCCTACTGTGTTTAATGAGGGATGGGGGAAGCAAAGTGTGCCCCATCGTCTTGGTCTGGGGACGCCGGGAAGATGCATGGGGTGGGGGGAGTGTGCTTGCATTTGAGTGTCAGGAAGGGGCGTGGTTTCCAAAGACTGCAAAACACTGGTGTGCAGGTCAGGAGGGTTATTTTGGGTGCTGCGGGGGAGGGGGAGAGATAATGCTACTGGTTGACTCTTCTGCAGAACCAGATCTGTTTAGGGCAAAGGTTGCAAATGTGAGGCTTACAGGTAGGTAATGGGTTTGGCAGCTCCCGCAGGGTATTGAGACATCTGTAATAAGCTGCTAACAGTGAAAAACTAGGACATTTCATGGGAACTCTAGCATGGGAATTTCTCCTGAGAATTCACCAGCTCTGGCCTGGCCGCTGGCACCTGCACTGGTGAAGCTTTGCCACAGTCCCTACCACTCCCTCTTGCCTCTCTCCGGCCTGCTTTGCTGGCTGACAGAAGATGAGAACCCTGAGGGCTGCCTTTCCGTGGTCTGGTTTCAGCTTCCGTGAACAAGCCAAAGGCTTTCACCTCAGAGCCAGCTCTTCCTGCCCCTGTCTCATCCTTCAAAGACAAACCTCTCACAGATCTTCACATTTGCGAACAAAAACACGCCCTCTGATTGTCCTGAGAAGCCCACGTGAAAGCCCGCTCTGAGGAAATCTCCTTGGGCTTGAGTGCTTGTACTTGTTCCCTGCTGGGTTGTCCAGCCTGTCTTGACACTTTCATGAATTTGAGATTTTAATTAAAAAAAGAAAAAGCGCACGCCTTCTGTTTGAATTCGGAGCTGCCGTCTTTAAAGTGAGGTTGCAGAGGGATGTCACACTTCCGTGGCCGGCTGACAGGTTGTCTCTGCTCCACTGGGTGCAGGGATGACCGGGAGCCGTCACGGCGCGGCGTCCGCGCACCTAACAAGGGAGCTGCCCCGATCTGTGTCCGGTGGAGCTGCTGGCGAGTCTGAACTGTCAGCCTTCTGGTAGCTGCCGAGCACTAACTGCTGCACCACCAGGGCTCCCTGTGGCCTAGACTGGAGACTGAGGGGCCAGTTTACCGGAGAGCCACATGGAGATGCACCACCAGGCACCTGGGGAGGGGGTGGCGAGGACATTGCTCTGTGGTCCGCTGTGTGCCCCTGATCACGCCTGGGGGTCTGAAAGTGGTATGTAGTCCTGGGCAGGAGGCAGAGAGCAGGGTGCCACAGCAAAGTACCACAAAGGGGTGGCTTTGGAGAACAGAGTGGCACTGTCACCCAGGTCTGGAGACTGGAGTCTGAATTCAGGGTGTTGGCAGGGCCCTGCTCTCTCTGGAGGCTCTAGGGAGGGTCCTTCCTTACCCCCCCAGCTGCTGATGGCCCCTGGCGTTCCCTGGCGTGTGACGGCAACACTCCAGTCTCTGCCTCTGTCCTCACAGGGCCTCCATCCCCCAGGCTCCTGTGTCTCTCCCCCTCTTGTAAGACACCAGTCGTATTGGATTAGGACTTGTTCTACGGCAGCTCTGAGTGGTGAGAATGGTTAATGCTCTCAGCTGCTAACCAGAAGGTTGGAGGTTGGAGTCTGCCCGAAGGTGTCTCGGAAAAAGGCCTGGTGATCAACTTCCAAAAAATCAGCCATGAAAGCCCTGTGGAGTGCAGTTCTCCGACACGTGGGGTTGCCACAGGATGGCATTCACTTTATAGCAACTGGTTCTACTGGGGCTCCAGTGAGACCTCACGTCAAGCTGCCTGCTAACATCTTCAAAGACCCTATTTCCAAACAGGGTCACGGTCACAGGTACTGGGGTTGGGACCTCAGCATCTTTTTTCCTCCCAGCGTATCTTTTGGGGAAAACTTCAACCTGTTAACAGCCACCTTTGTAACAAGTGGGGGCTGCTGTTGTAGGTGCCATCAATTCTGACTCACAGCGACCCCACGGGACAGAGTAGAACTGCCTCACGGGGTTTGCTAGGCGGTCATCTTTATGGGAACCGATTGCCAGGCTTTTCTCCTTCAGAGCCACTGGGCGGATTTGAACCATCAGCCTTTTGGTTAGCAGCCAAATGGGTAACCACTGTGATTCCAAGCCTCCCTGTGAGTGAGGGCTGTTGCTGCTGTCAGGTGCCATGGAGTCAGTTCTGACTCACAGCAACCCCATGCACGACAGAAAGAAACACCGCCTGGTCCTGTGCCGTCCTCGCGATCCTTGCTGTGCTTGAGCCCATCCTCACAGCCAGTGGTAATCAATCCATCCTGCTGAGGGCCTTCCCTTATGCTGACTCTCTACCAAGCATGATGGCCTTCTCCAGCGACTGGTCCCTTTTGACGACGTGACCAAAGTACTAGAGACAGTCTCACCATCCTCACTTCTAAGGAGCATTCTGGCTGTACTTTTCCCAAGACAGATCTGTTCATTCTTCTGGCAGCCCACCGTATTTTCAGTATTCTTCACCAACACTGTAATTCAGAGGCACCAATTCTTGTTCGAATCTTTCTTGTTCACGGTCCAGCTTTTGCATGCATATATAAAAACAGCAACACCAAACTCGTTGCCATCGAGTCAATTTGGACTCACAGTTGGCAACCGCCACTGGGTTTCCGAGGCAGTACATCTTTACAGAAGTAGACTGCCCCATCATTCTTCAGCAGACGGCTGGTGGGTTTGAACCATCAACCTGCTGCTTAGTAGTCAACTGCCTTAGGCACAGTGCCACAGAGCCCTGTATGCATGCACATATAGCTACTGAAAATATCACAGCTTGGGTCAGGCACACCTTAGTCCTCAAAGTGACATCTTT